TCGCCACTGGCGCCCTGTGCTCTTCACAGATGAAAGCAGGTTCACACTGAGCACATGTGACAGACGTGACAGAGTCTGGAGACGCCGTGGAGAACGTTCTGCTGCCTGCAACATCCTCCAGCATGACCGGTTTGGCGGTGGGTAAGTCATGGTGTGGTGTGGCATTTCTTTGGGGGGCCGCACAGCCCTCCATGTGCTCGCCAGAGGTAGCCTGACTGCCATTAGGTACCGAGATGAGATCCTCAGACCCCTTGTGAGACCATATGCTGGTGCGGTTGGCCCTGGGTTCCTCCTAATGCAAGACAATGCTAGACTTCATGTGGCTGGAGTGTGTCAGCAGTTCCTGCAAGAGGAAGGCATTGATGCTATGGACTGGCCCGCCCGTTCCCCAGACCTGAATCCAATTGAGCACATCTGGGACATCATGTCTCGCTCCATCCACCAACGCCACGTTGCACCACAGACTGTCCAGGAGTTGGCGGATGCTTTAGTCCAGGTCTGGGAGGAGATCCCTCAGGAGACCATCCGCCACCTCATCAGGAGCATGCCCAGGCGTTGTAGGGAGGTCATACAGGCACGTGGAGGCCACACACACTACTGAGCCTCATTTTGACTTGTTTTAAGGACATTACATCAAAGTTGGATCAAATCCAGACCTCCATGGGTTGATAAATTTGATTTCCATTGATAATTTTTGTGTGATTTTGTTGTCAGCACATTCAACTATGTAAAGAAAAAAGTATTTAATAAGATTATTTAATTCATTCAGATCTAGGATGTGTTATTTTAGTGTTCAATTTTTTTGAGCAGTGTAAATATCTTGCCACACCGCCAGACTCATGTCTTTTGGTGAATTGTTTTATCTTAAACAATAATATACTACACACACCGTACTATGTCACATTCTTAGTGCATGTGTATGTTTTTGTTTGGGCCAGTCTAATACAATCTAATATGTGTTTGGTCTTCTGAATTAGGCTATGACATGTTAAATTGCCTCTTTTTTTATTGGTTGTATTTTGCTGTGTAGAGCAGAAAAGCAATGGTAGAAACATGTTTCATTGACCATAGCCTTCTGTTCACGAGCCTCTGCACAGCCACCACTTTTTTCCCAGGGATTGGGGAATACGGATGCCATCAATCTTCAAGCCATGCACAGATTAGCTGCGCTGGTTTATTGTTGGGCTTATATATAGTGATATGGTGAAATTCATGGTTAAAAGGGGAAAAGAGCAGTGAATTCTTGTAGGGCTGGGCGCTATTTATTTTAAAGGGATAGTGCGAGATTTTGGCAAGTAAGCCCATTTTCTACTTACCCTGAGTCAGATGAACTCATGGATACCGTTTTTGTATGTCTCTGCGTGCAGTTTGAATGAAGTTGACAGTAGTTTCCCGATCCGTTGCTAACTAGCATTAGCGCAATGACTGGAAATCTACCGCTAGCATGCTCACGAAACTACCTTCAAAGCATGCAGAGACATAAAGATGGTATCCATGAGCTCATCTGACTATGGGTAAGTAGAAAAGGGGCTTAATTGCCAAATCTTGCACTATACCTTTAGGGACGGTTTCCCGGACACAGAATAAATCCTAGTCCTGGACTAAAAAGCAAGCTCAATAGAGAATCTCCATTTAAAATGTTTTTTAGTCTAAAACTAATCTTAATCTGTGTCCGGGAAACTGCCCCTAAAGGTATACCAGTATGGATACACATACCGGTATGGATTTTTACAATACCATCATAATGATATTTTGATACAGTGCTAAATAAATGAAAGTTCTACAAATTGGACTACTTCATTGTCAGTTTTAGCCTAGTTTGGTTGAGAACTAATCGGAATGGAGAAAGCCCATTACAACCACTAAGAATTCATTTGTTGCCATCCTAGGGTCATGCACTGCTCATAAAACATATTTGGAACTGTTTTCAGAAACATAAAATACAATTCTGTGTATGTTTTACAGGCTTTGGATTGTGACAGAACAGTCTTGCAGAAAATGAAGAAGGCTGCTAAAGCCAAGCATGCTTCAGGTCAAGGTAAAATCACAATCACGACACCATTTTGTATACATCTGGCCCTTCATTGGACACTGTGTTAACAAACCTCCAAATGAGCTTCAATGCCATACAACACTCCTTCCGTGGCCTCCAACTGCTCTTAAACGCTATTAAAACTAAATGCATGCTCTTCAATCGAACGCTGCTTGCACCCGCCTGCCCGACTTGAATCACTACTCTCGGCGGGTCTGACTTAGAATATGTGGACAAGTACAAATACCTAGGTGTCTGGTTAGACCGTAAACTCTCCTTCCAGACTCACATTAAGCATCTCCAATCCAAAGTTAAATCTAGAATCGGCTTCCTATTTCGCAACAAAGCCTCCTTCACTCCTTGCTCATTTGCACCCCAGTATCTCTATTTGTACATCATCTCTTGCACATCTATCATTCCAGTGTTAATACTAATTGTAATTATTTTGCACTATAGCCTATTTATTGCCTTACCTCCATAACTTGCTACATTTGCACACACTGTATATATATTTTCTGTTGTATTTATTTATTTTTTACCCCATTTGTACAGTGGGGAGAACAAGTATTTGAAACAATGCCGATTTTGCAGGTTTTCCTACTTACAAAGCATGTAGAGGTCTGTCATTTTTATCATCGGTACACTTCAACTGTGAGAGACGGAATCTAAAACAAAAATCCAGAAAATCACATTGTATGATTTTTAAGTAATTAATTTGCATGACATAAGTATTTGATACATCAGAAAAGCAGAACTTAATATTTGGTACAGAAACCTTTGTTTGCAATTACAGAGATCATACGTTTCCTATAGGTCTTGACCAGGTTTGCACACTCTGCAGCAGGGATTTTGGCCCACTCCTCCATACAGACCTTCTCCAGATCCTTCAGGTTTTGGGGCTGTCGCTGGGCAATACGGACTTTCAGCTCCCTCCAAAGATTTTCTATTGGGTTCAGGTCTGGAGACTGGCTAGGCCACTCCAGGACCTTGAGATGCTTCTTACGGAGCCACTCCTTAGTTGCCCTGGCTGTGTGTTTCAGGTCGTTGTCATGCTGGAAGACCCAGCCACGACCCATCTTCAATGCTCTTACTGGGGGAAGGAGGTTGTTGGCCAAGATCTCACGATACATGGCCCCATCCATCCTCCCCTCAATACGGTGCAGTCGTCCTGTCCCCTTTGCAGAAAAGCATCCCCAAAGAATGATGTTTCCACCTCCATGCTTCACGGTTGGGATGGTGTTCTTGGGGTTGTACTCATCCTTCTTCTTCCTCCAAACACGGCGAGTGGAGTTTAGACCAAAAAGCTCTATTTTTGTCTCATCAGACCACAGGACCTTCTCCCATTCCTCCTCTGGATCATCCAGATGGTCATTGGCAAACTTCAGACGGGCCTGGATATGCGCTGGCTTGAGCAGGGGGACCTTGCGTGCGCTGCATGATTTTGATCCATGACGGCGTAGTGTGTTACTAATGGTTTTCTTTGAGACTGTCGTCCCAGCTCTCTTCAGGTCATTGACCAGGTCCTGCCGTGTAGTTCTGGGCTGATCCCTCACCTTCCTCATGATCATTGATGCCCCACGAGGTGAGATCTTGCATGGAGCCCCAGACCGAGGGTGATTGACCGTCATCTTGAACTTCTTCCATTTTCTAATTATTGCGCCAACAGCTGTTGCCTTCTCACCAAGCTGCTTGCCTATTGTCCTGTAGCCCATCCCAGCCTTGTGCAGGTCTACAATTTTATCCCTGATGTCCTTACACAGCTCTCTGGTCTTGGCCATTGTGGAGAGGTTGGAGTTTGTTTGATTGAGTGTGTAGACAGGTATCTTTTATACAGGTAACGAGTTCAAACAGGTGCAGTTAATACAGGTAATGAGTGGAGAACAGGAGGGCTTCTTAAAGAATAACTAACAGGTCTGTGAAAGCCGGAATTCTTACTGGTTGGTAGGTGATCAAATACTTATGTCATGCAATAACATGCAAATTAATTACTTAAAAATCATACAATGTGATTTTCTGGATTTTTGTTTTAGATTCCGTCTCTCACAGTTGAAGTGTACCTATGATAAAAATGACAGACCTCTACATGCTTTGTAAGTAGGAAAACCTGCAAAATCGTCAGTGTATCAAATACTTGTTCTCCCCACTGTATATCTCACTGGTCATCCCCAAAGCCAACACCGCCTTTGGCCGCCATTCCTTCCAGTTCTCTGCTGCAAATGACTGGAAAGAACTGCAAAATTCTCTGAAGCTGGAGACACTCATCTCCCTCACTAACTTTAAGCATCAGTTGTCAGAGCAGCTTACCAATCACTGCACCTGTACACAGCCCATCTGTAATTAGCCTACCCAACTACCTCATCCCCATATTGTTATTTACATTGTTATTTATTTTGCTCATTTGCACCCCAGTATCTCTATTTGCACATCATCTTCTGCACATCTATCACCCCAGTGTTAATACTAAATTGTAATTATTTTGCACTATGGCCTGTTAATTGCCTTAACTCCATAACTTACTACATTTGCACACACTGTATATAGATTTCTATTGTGTTATTGACTGTATGTTTTCTTTTTGTTTATTCCATATGTAACTCTGTGTTGTTGTATTTATGGCACTGCTTTGCTTTATCTTGGCCAGGTCGCAGTTGTAAATGAGAACTTGTTCTCAACTGGCTTACCTGGTTAAATTCATAATGAAGAAAACCCACAGCAGATCATTTTGTTTGGTACATTTTAATAGAACTGGAGAACACTGCAAAACAATTGTGCCTATTATTCTACCTGATCTACATATAATAGCACATATTATCCAAGATCTGTAGCAAAAATGGTAGCTATTACCTAGAGTACCATGTAGGACACATGTGGGCCTGTTGTTGACAGGTTTCACTTGATCAGTGTTGTCTGCTGTTATGTATGTGTGCTTGCGAACATCCGTAAATGTATCGTCCCTTTCCCCCTGTAGACCATATCTCCCATCTGGAGCTGTACATCAGTTCCATGGAGAAACTGGCTGTGAATTTCCGCTCCAATGGAGAGAAGGAAGTGGCCTCTGCCTTCACGAAGTTTGCTGAATTTTCCAAAGAGCTGCTGACGCCAATAAAGAACTTGGTAAGAGAGAGAGAGTTGCTTTCGAGAGTATGAAAAAACGATCAATTAGAATGTGCTTCTGTTGTGTCTACCGGTCAAAAGCTTTAGAACACCTACTCATTCAAGGGTTTTTCTCATTGTAGAATAATAATGAAGACATCAAAACTATGAAATAAGACATAATGTAGTGACCAAAAAAGTGTTAAACAAATCAAAATATATTTTATATTTGAGATTCTTCAAATAGCCACCCTTTGCCTTGATGACAGCTTTGCACACTCTTGGCATTCTCTCAACCAGCTTCATGGGGTAGTCACCTGGAATGCATTTCAATTAACAGGTGTGCCTTCTTAAAAGTTCATTTGTGGAATTTCTTTCCTTAACGCGTTTGAGCCAATCAGGTGTGTTGTGAGAAGGTAGGGGGGTATACAGAAGATAGCCCTATTTGGTAAAAGACCAAGTCAATATTATTATTATTACTTTAGGACATGAAGGTCAGTCAATATGGAACATTTCAAGAACTTTGAAAGTTTCTTCAAGTGCTGTTGCAAAAACCATCAAGCGCTGTGATGAAACTGGCTCTCATGAGGACCGCCACAGGAATGGAAGACCCAGAGTTACCAGCCTAGGAAATTGCAGCCCAAATAAATGCTTCACAGAGTTCAAGGAACAGACACATCTCAACATCAACTGTTCAGAGGAGACTGCGTGAATCAGGCCTTCATGGTCGAATTGCTGCAAACCACTACTAAAGGACACAAATAAGAAGAAGATACTTGCTTGGGCCAAGAAACACAAGCAATGGACATTAGACCGGTGGAAATATGTCCTTTCGTCTGGAGTCCAAATTTGAGATTTGTGTTTCCAACCGCTGTGTCTTTGTGAGACGCGGTGTGGGTGAACGGATTATCTCTGCATGTGTATTTCCCACCGTAAAGCATGGAGGAGGAGGTGTTATGGTGTGGGGGTGCTTTGCTGGTGATACTTTCTGTGATTTATTTAGAATTCAAGGCACACTTAACCAGCATGGCCATCCCATCTGGTTTGGGTTTAGTGGGATTCTCGTTTGTTTTTCAATAGGACAATGACCCAACACACCTCTAGGCTGTGTAAGGGCTATTTGACCAAGAAGGAGTGATTGAGTGCTGCATCAGATGACCTGGCCTCCACAATCCCCCGACCTCAACCAAGTTGAGATGGTTTGGGATGAGACGGACTGCAGAGTGAAGGAAAAGCAGCCAACAAGTGCTCAGCATATGTGGGAACTCCTTCAAGACTGTTGGAAAAGCCTTCCAGGTGAAGCTGGTTGAGAGAATGCTAAGAGTGTGCAAAGCTGTCATCAAGGCAAAGGGTGGCTATTTGAAGAATCTCAAATATAAAATATATTTTGATTTGTTTAACACTGTCTTGGTTACTACATGATTCCATATGTGTTTTGATGTCTTCACTATTATTCTACAATGTAGAAAATAGTAAAAAATAAAGAAAAACCCTTGAATGATTAGGTGTTCTAAGGCTTTTGACCGGTAGTGTACATCAAAGCTCCTCAGTGACAGTCTGACATTGTGCGTATTGTAACCCACCACAACTGTGTGTCTTCCCTTCAGTTAAAGAGCATGCTGCACAACATCAACTTCTTCCTGGATTCTCTAGTAAAAGGAGACCTGAAAGAGGTCAAAGGGGTAAGTCTAAAATGTCAAATAGCTGATCTTGCCTCGCTCAAATATCTTTGTCGAATTGCATATCTGTGATGACCACTCTCTAAAATCATGCACATTTTCTATTCTCTTCTCCCTCAGGATTTGAAAAAGCCGTTTGACAAAGCATGGAGGGACTATGAAAATAAATTGTGAGTGTACATCTGCCCAACAGCTAAATGGTCCTGGTGAGGGAACGTAATGATTTTACCTGGCTTTAAAAATTTCACACCAGTGCCAAATGATGCATTGCATTCATACTTCCAACAGTCAACTGAAATAATGCTGCTTTTTTTTATTCTGTATAGCTGTTTTAATTAATCAGAAACAACCAGCTGGTTGATTGCCAGGCCAATGGGGTGGAGGGTATTGTTTTGATTTGTGGTGCAAGAGTTATTGTTCATGTCACAAATTTGGTCCAAGAGACAGAAGTTATATCCTCACATTCTCCACCAACAATACGAAATGGATCTGTTCCTGTTTAAATAAGGTTTTAAGTGTCATAGCAACCAGCTTTGAATTACTGTACACTGTGGGGCTGTTTTCAGTGGGGCAATTTGTCCATGGTGGGTTAGTCTGTGTGTCTGTTCCCAATAACAGGGTCAGAGGCACAGCTGCCCTTGACACCACATTCACATCCCCTGTACTGGAAACAGTGGTTGAGCCGTGCATCATTTCAATGATTCTCTATATGCTTTTACTACAAGCCATTCTTGTTCAAGCTCCCCACAGACTTGTTTTCCCCAAGGCCTGAATCCAATCTTGTGATATTCGATGCGAATGACCACAAATACTGTATTAAAAACATTGACAGCCCAGCACCCTTTACAACGCATACTAAGAAGCTCCTCCCTGATCCTTAGATAATGATTTACCATTCATATTATTTTTTTTGCGTTAATAGTAGTCATCATGTGAAATACATTCAGTATCCCTTATCAATATCCCATTCTTCCCTATGGTATGATCGAAAACATATAGAATAGCAATTTTGTCCAATTCTCTCAGCTGTATGAATCAACCAACCATAATGAGCGGTACCAGTGTGTTTATCTCTGACTGACCTGAGATGAACTAGTGTTATATTGTATCCCTCAGCACCAAGATCGAGAAGGAGAAGCGGGAGCTGGCCAAGCAGTACGGCATGGTGCGCACAGAGGTGAGCGGGGGAGAGATCGCAGAGGAGCTGGAGAAGGAGCGCAGGATGTTCCAGCTACAGATGTGTGAGGTGAGTGAGATCTACTGTATAGAGTGATTCTTATTCAAATTCTATGGGGGAGTTTCAAAGCTTTGACATCTGATTAACAGTTCTGGCTTAGAGCTTTGGCCAACATTTGGGCCTCCTGAGAATGGGGTGTTACCCTCAAGGTTTACCTCTTATCCCGTAATGACATAGTTTTAGAGATGAAACCTTTCTGAATAGCTCCAAGGTCTTCCATTGGAATCTGTAGTTTCTCCGTTTAAATCATGAATGAATGACTTGTGATATTGCCTTTGTGTCTTTGTCCATTCAGTGACGTGAATGCACAGCCTTGCTTTTAATGATTGCTCGATGGACACATTGATGAATAACTCAACCATAAAACCGTTTGCTTCTCCTCTATGTGTTTCTTGTAGTACCTCATCAAAGTGAACGAAATCAAGACTAAGAAAGGTGTCGACCTGCTTCAGAATCTCATCAAGCACTATCACTCCCAGTGCAAGTAAGGCAATGTGGTCTCTGTCTAACTAAAAGTTAGGGGGAGAAATGAACATCTCAGCTAAACGTGAGTGTGTTTCTCTGTTGCTCTGAGGTTTACTGAGCGAAAGGAGAACCTTAGGTGGTAAAAACAATGGGGGGAGTGGAGTCATTGTTTACTGTACTGTAAGGACTGGAAAATCCAATAACTTTTTAAAGCATATGACTGGATATCTTATTGAAATATGGAAATAATGCCCCTCCCACACACATACTGTATGACAGTGCTAGCCCTAAGTGTTTTAGAAAATGCATAACACTTTCATGTTTTATATAGATGATGATATAATAAAACATGTAGGAGTGGAATTGGGGAAATTCAGGCTTAGACTCCAGAGGGTTGATAAAAGCCGTATTGATGCATTATATTGAGTAAAGGGTGATTATTAAAAAGTGCTTTTGAACAAGATAAGTGCTTGCGAAATGAGTTTACATACAGTGGGGAAAAAAAGTATTTAGTCAGCCACCAATTGTGCAAGTTCTCCCACTTAAAAAGATGAGAGAGGCCTGTAATTTTCATCATAGGTACATGTCAACTATGACAGACAAATTGAGAAAAAAAAATCCAGAAAATCACATTGTAGGATTTTTTATGAATGTATTTGCAAATTATGGTGGAAAATAAGTATTTGGTCACCTACAAACAAGCAAGATTTCTGGCTCTCACAGACCTGTAACTTCTTCTTTAAGAGGCTCCTCTGTCCTCCACTCGTTACCTGTATTAATGGCACCTGTTTGAACTTGTTATCAGTATAAAAGACACCTGTCCACAATCTCAAACAGTCACACTCCAAACTCCACTATGGCCAAGACCAAAGAGCTGTCAAAGGACACCAGAAACAACATTGTAGACCTGCACCAGGCTGGGAAGACTGAATCTGCAATAGGTATGCAGCTTGGTTTGAAGAAATCAACTGTGGGAGCAATTATTAGGAAATGGAAGACATACAAGACCACTGATAATCTCCCTCGATCTGGGGCTCCACGCAAGATCTCACCCCGTGAGGTCAAAATGATCACAAGAACAGTGAGCAAAAATTCCAGAACCACACGGGGGGACCTAGTGAATGACCTGCAGAGAGCTGGGACCTAAGTAACAAAGCCTACCATCAGTAACACACTACGCCGCCAGAGACTCAAATCCTGCAGAGCCAGACGTGTCCCCCTGCTTAAGCCAGTACATGTCCAGGCCCGTCTGAAGTTTGCTAGAGTGCATTTGGATGATCCAGAAGACGATTGGGAGAATGTCAGATGAAACCAAAATATAACTTTTTGGTAAAAACTCAACTCGTCGTGTTTGGAGGACAAAGAATGCTGAGTTGCATCCAAAGAACACCATACCTACTGTGAAGAATGGGGGTGGAAACATCATGCTTTGGGGCTGTTTTTCTGCAAAGGGACCAGGACGACTGATCCGTGTAAAGGAAAGAATGAATGGGGCCATGTATCGTGAGATTTTGAGTTAAAACCTCCTTCCATCAGCAAGGGCATTGAAGGTGAAACATGGCTGGGTCTTTCAGCATGACAATGATCCCAAACACACCGCCCGGGCAACGAAGGAGTGGCTTCGTAAGAAGCATTTCAAGGTCCTGGAGTGGCCTAGCCAGTCTCCAGATCTCAACCCCGTAGAAAATCTTTGGAGGGAGTTGAAAGTCTGTGTTGCCCAGCGACAGCCCCAAAACATCACTGCTCTAGAGGAGATCTGTATGGAGGAATGGGCCAAAATACCAGCAACAGTGTGTGAAAACCTTGTGAAGACTTACAGAAAACGTTTGACCTGTGTCATTGCCAACAAAGGGTATACAACAAAGTATTGAGAAAGTTTTGTTATTGACCAAATACTTATTTTCCACCATAATTTGCAAATAAATTCATAAAAAATCCTACAATGTGATTTTCTGGAATTTTTTTTCTCATTTTGTCTGTCATAGTTGACGTGTACCTATGATGAAAATTACAGGCCTCTCTCATCTTTTTATGTGGGAGAACTTGCACAATTGGTGGCTGACTAAATACTTTTTTTCCCCACTGTAATTGTAAAGTGGTTATCCCACTGGCTATAGGGTGAACGCACCAATTTGTGAGTCGCTCTGGCTAAGAGCGTCTGCTAAATGATGTTAATGTGCCCTTGAGCAAGGCACTTAACCCTAATTGCTCCTGTAAGTCGCTCTGGTTAAGAGCGTCTGCTAAATGACTAAAATGTAAATGTAAATGTAATGGTTGCGGTTTTAGATTTGCCTGAGGGTCATGCAGTAGCAGTTTGACGGCATGATCATATACAGATAACCAGATGAGAACCAGCCTATTATAGAAGTCATTTTCATCTTTCAGTAGAGCTCCAATTGCGTGTGCCAAAGACATCAGATGTTAAACACAATATCCCCTGTGACTGACTGCCCCCTCCCCTCTATGGCCACCATGCACCATCATATGTGAAAAGAGTCAGGAAACATGCTAGCCCATCCTGCAACACACCCAAACACTCACTCACTCACTCAGTCTCACGCACCTTCTGCTTCTAATGCGGCAATAAACTGATATTTCCTTTTGTCAGTTTCTTTCAGGAGTGCCTGGTGGCCACCGAGAAGCTCAAGCAGTATATTGATGAGCTCACAGGAACGCTGGGCACTGTGAGTGACATTCCACAATGTCTGTGTGTCTGATTCGTTTCATTGAACCTTTATTTAAGTAGGGAGTATGCTGAGACCACGGTCTCTTTCACAAATGAGCCCTTCACATTCTGGTGTTCGATCAAATGGCAACTTGAAAAGGTGACATTCACCACAAACTCCACCTACTGCAGTCTCAGAATGAGCTCCTCAAACCAGCAGCCATTTGCAATCACCTGTGGTTTTGCTTTTCTGTTGCAACCATCCCCCACACAACTGATTGATTGATTTCAGTTTTAATACAAAACCGCCTTGAACAAATGTAATGATTCTCTCCAGAAACCAGATACTAAATGTAGTCTGAACTGTTAAATGTTTTATTCCTGTCATCAGTAGTCAGTGACTGTCCTCTCTCCCAGCTGTTGGGTTCCATTAAGATTCTATTGAGATAAACAGCCCACGCTGTTAGCCATTAGCCTTGTGCTCACAACTAGAGTAGATGGAGATAATCAGCTCAGTTAGCCTCGAACCGCTACAGCTCTATTCAGAGAGCCATCCACAGCTGCCCTATGGGCAGCAAACTTACACATGTGCCTGAAGCGGGTCATCTGCATTCTGAACACTCTCCCCACCCTACAGCTCACACAGGCAGCACAGCCTTTGATCAACAACCGACTGGATCAAATCCATCAGAGTAGACACTGCACAATGGGTGTTCATATAAAGCATAGTGATCCAGTAAACAACCAAATGTGCTCCGTTTATGACTTCCCTATCCTGCAGAGTGCACGGTGAAGGGCTATGAGGACTTTTGCTGTCGGAACACCTGTATTGGCGGATTGCCTTGTGCTGAATTACAAATGTTTTACCCCTAGTCTCTAGCTCCTACCCCCTAAACACTGCTGTAGACCTGAAACGTTTGGATAGGTTTAAGCAATGAGTTGATTTCATAAATGTTCACAACCAGTGGGTATTAAAGGGAGATTTATATGCTCCACATTTCTGCAATGCTGAGTCAATAGCAATCTAATGTTCAACGATACTATTAAAATTGAGATTGTGTGAATGGCTGCGTTAAGACATCAAAATCAATTTGTGCGACCTGGAATGTGTTTGGAGGGAAAGGATGCGAGGGGTGAGTGGAGTATGTGTGGGTGTGTTTGTGTGTGTTGGGAGGTGATGATGAGGGTATTATTGAATGTGCTCTCTCTGTCCAGATCAAACACAGACAGGACGAGGAGAAGAGACAACTCTGCTCTCTCAGAGACCAGCTCCGGCCCTCACTGCAGCCTGAGCTCAAAGAGGTGAGGACACACACACAAACACACACACACACACACACACAGGTTTGATTGAAATTCAAAATGTGCCTGTCTATGTTCAAAATTTGACATTTTAGTTTTTTTTAAGAGTAAAATATATTTTTGAAATACTTCTTGAGTAAAGCATTTCTCTTCCATGCTCATATGGGGTGAGTAACATCTCACTAAATGTGGATGATGTAATTCATTATAGTGAAGTATTAACATTGTGGTTTTATTTCAATCCTGCAAATCGTTCAGTCAAGGAGAGTAAGTTGAATTTGATATGCTTGATATGTACGGTACTTGCATGTGATTAAAAAATAAAGTTATAACAATAAAGCTGTAAATACAGTGCATTCGGAAAGTATTCAGACCCCTTGACCTTTTCCACATTTTGTTACGTTACAGCCTTATTCTAAAATGTATTGAATTGTTTCCCCCCCCCCCCTCATTAATCTACACACAATACCCCATAATGACAAAGCAAAAACAGGTGTTTAGACATTTATGCAAATTTATAAATAAAAAAACGGAAATATGACATTTACCTAAGTATTCAGACCCTTTTACTCAGTACTTTGTTGAAGCACTTTTGGCAGCGATTACAGCCTCGAGTCTTCTTGGGTATGACGCTACAAGCTTGGCACACCTGTATTTGGGGAGTTTCTCCCATTTTTCTCTGCAGATCCTCTCAAGTCAGGTTGGATGGGGAGTGTTGCTGCACAGCTATTTTCAGGTCTCTCCAGAGATGTTCGATCGGGTTCAAGTCCAGGCTCTGGCTGGGCCACTCAAGGACATTCAGAGACTTGTCCCGAAGCCACTCCTGCGTTGTCTTGGCTCTGTGCTTTGGGTCGTTGTCCTGTTGGAAGGTGAACCAGACTGAGGTCCTGAGCGCTCTGGAGCAGGAGCTCTCTGTACTTTCTCCGTTCATCTTTCCCTCAATCCTGACTAGTCTCCCAGTCCCTGCCGCTGAAAAACATCTCCACAGCATGATGCTGCCACCACCATGCTTCACCGTAGGGATAGTGCCAGTTTTCCTCCAGACGTGATGTTTTGCATTGAGACCAAATAATTCAATCTTGGTTTCATCAGACCAGAGAATTTTGTTTCTCATGGTCGGAGAGTCTTTAGGTGCCTTTTGGCAAACTCCTAGTGGGCTGTCATGTGCATTTTACTGAGGAGTGGCTTCCATCTGGGCACTGTACCAAAAAGGCCTGATTGGTGGAGTGCTGCAGAGATGGTTGTCCTTCTGGAAGTTTTATCCCATCTCCACACAGGAACTCCGGAGCTCTGTCAGTGACCATCGGGTTCCTCCTTACCAAGGCCCTTCTCCCCCGATTGCTCAGTTTGGCCGGGTGGCCAGCTCTATGAAGAGTCTTGGTAGTTCCTGAAATTCTTCCATTGAAGAATGATGGATGCCACTGTGTTCTTGGGGACCTTCAATGCTGCAGAATTTTTTTGGTACCCTTCCCCAGATCTGTGCCTTGACACAATCCTGTCTCTGAGTTCTACGGACAAATCCTTCGACCTCATGGCTTGGTCTTTGCTCAGACATGCACTGTCAGCTGTGGGACCTTATATAGACAGGTGTGTGCCGTTCCAAATCATGTCCAAACAATTGAATTTACCACAGGTGGACTCCAATCAAGTTGTAGAAACGTTTCAAGGATGATCAATGGAAACAGGATGCACCTGAGCTCAATTTCGAGTCTCATAGCAAATGGTCTGAATGTTTGTGTAAATAAGGTATTTCTGTTTAATTTTTTTTATAAATGTGCAAACATTTCTAAAAACCTGTTTTTGCTTTGTCATTTGTATTTGTTTGTATTAATTAGGGATCCCCATTAGCTGCTGCCAAGTGCTCCCCCCCTCTGGTAGCATGTCTTGTGGGGTATGCATGGGTGTCCAAGCTGTGTGCCAGTATTCCAGCTCGGTACATTCAGCTTGTCCACACCTCTTACAAAACAAGCAGTGATGAAGTCAATCTCTCTTCCACTCTGAGCCAGGAGAGACTGACATGCATGTCATTAATGTTAGCTCTCCATTTACTTTTAAGGGCCAGCCGTGCTGCCCTGTTTTGAGCCAACTGCAATTTTCCCAAGTCCCTCTTTGTGGCACCTGACCACACTACTGCGACAAAACTAGGGCCTGTAGGACCTGCCTTGTTGATAGTGTTGTTAAGAAGGCAGAGCAGCGCTTAATTATGGACATACTTCTCCCCATCTTAGCTACTGTTGTGTCAATATGCTTTGACCATGACAGTCTACAATCCAGGGTTACTCCAAGCAGTTTAGACACCTCAACTTGCTCAATTTCCACATTATTCATTACGAGATGTAGTTGAGGTTTAGGGTTTAGTGAATGAATTGACCCAAATACAATGCTTTACGTTTCGGAAATATTCAGGACTAACTTATTCCTTGCCACCGATTCCGAAACTAACTGCAACTCTTTGTTAAGTGTTGTAGTTATTTCAGTTGCTGTAGTAGCTGATGTGTATAGTGTTGAGTCATCCGCATACATAGATACACTGGTTTTACTCAAGTGGCATGTCGTTAGTAAAGATGAAAAAAGCAAGGGGCCTAGACAGCTGCCCTGGGGAATTCCTGATTGTACCTGGATTATGTTTGATTGTCACTATGGGGTATTTTGTGTAGATTGATGAGAAAAAATATATATTTTGTCCATTTTAGAACAAGGCTGTAACGTAACAAAATGTGGAAAAGTAATGGGGTCTGAATACTTTTCCTGTGGTGGTTCTATTCAGTCCTTGTGCAGCAAGCAAAATGTTTTACATTCAAGGGCTATTTGTAATTTTTATAAATCACCCTTTTTAGAAACTTTTGTATAGTATGTGTCATGATGTTATGGCTGCTCTTCATGGTATTTGACAAGAAGAGCTTGTCTGTCTGACCTACCACACATTTCTCTGCTACTACTGTACTTGCATGCATACGTTAATTGCATGCTTACGTTAATCTGTCTTGTTTGTGACATCATATTTCTGCTTTCCGTGTCCATCTCACTGCTTGAGTCACAGGATCTAGAAATCGCAAGTTGACTCATGATCTGTTCATGTGGAATATGAAAGGGATAAACGGTGACGTTCTGTACATTATAGAAAATAATGGACGACGTGGTAGGGAATCTTGTAAATTACCTCTATCTCTTTGTCAAACCCAGGACTCCTTGAGCAAGCAGACATTCTACAGCATGCACCAGCTGGAAGGCAACAAATATTATGGCACAGAGAAAGCGGGATACCTCTACAAGAGAAGTGACGGGTATGAACACTTTATCTGTGTGAAAGTCATTATCCCAAGCAGAATTGTCATACCTGCAAGTTAAATCCTATTTACACTAGACGGATGTAGTATTATTATGTTCATAGTGAGAATTTCATTTGAGCTTCCATACAGTTACATCACAGTACCTCAGTCAGTTTGGAGGCTGAAAGAGGTGCTGGCATTGTTTTCACCCTTGGTGTTTGTCCCCCGCAGGTTGAGAAAGATGTGGCAGAAGAGGAATTGCACTGTGCAGAACTGCTACCTAACTATTGCACATGGAACTGTGAGTTCAGTCTTGTTCAGTGTTGTGGATTACCTTCTGACACAATTGATGATAACCTGGTACCAAATAGTGCCTGGTGGGGCTTTTTTAATGAATCCCAAAGAACCAAACGTGATAGGTTATTACTATGTGATAACCATTTTACCATGTTATCTCTTAGTAAATACCTGGAGATTTCTGTACCATAAAAAAAAGTTCAACTTTAATGCTTAAAGTGGAACTGACAGCATTTTAGCAACATTAACTATTATACAAATCTGTTCATATACACCACCAGGAAGAACATTTTCTGACATGTTTTAGCACATAGATATGGTCATTTTCATGTTTTCATAAATTCTTGGAATGTTGTGAAAATTCTATAGCAATATAGAGTGGAAAGCGGCCGTGCGTTTGGACAATTAATAGACACTGCAGTAAATAAAACCTAATACAAACATCTGTCTCGTCCAGGACCGGAGTGCCATAGCCAATTAGATGTACAGTAGGCCTATATGCAAACAAGCCTTTTGCGACAAGGGCCTGCCATCATTCTCTCGCAGTTGCAACATCTCAACTTTAGATCATTACAATGCATTCGACAAAAGTCAGAAAATACACTTGAATGGATTTCTGCAAATATGTAGCTAAATACCACAGGAGTCCTCTTACATTTGGGAATTTTACAGTCCTATTTATTAAACATCCATAAAAAGGTAGGCTATCTTTCCCTATATGCACATCAACAACAACAAGATCAACAACTAATGCTAGCCAGAGCAAGATGAGCTAAAATCTAACAAAGGAACATTTAGAATAAGGCTGTAACGTAACAAACTTTTCCAAACTTTTTCAGCTAGTTGGCCATCAAAATTGCACTGATAAACGATGGAGAATAGCCTGCTTGTCCTTCTGCAGCTTGCGTGTCAATGCATGCGTTGTCTCAACCAAGCACCCAAGCTAACTGGCTAAAGTTGGCTAGCTTGCTAGCTAGCTACTTTCATACACAAATGAGAGAACATCTCACTGACCATTTTACTCGCCCTAGCAGAGTTGGTTAGGCTGTTTACATGTTATACATTTACATTTTAGTCATTTAGCAGACGCTCTTATCCAGAGCGACTTACAGGAGCAATTAGGGTTAAGTGCCTTGCTCAAGGGCACATTTACGTCATTTAGCAGACGCTCTTATCCAGAGCGACTACAAATTGGTGCATTCACCCTATAGCCAGTGGGATAACCACTTTACAATTATACTTTTTTATTTATTTTTTTGGGGGGGGGGGTAGAAGGAGCCTGAAGGTACGGAGGTGCCGTTCCCCTCACTGCTCCATAGGCAAGCACCATGGTCTTGTAACGGATGCGAGCTTCAACTGGAAGCCAGTGGAGTGTGCGGAGGAGGGGGGTGACGTGAGAGAACTTGGGAAGGTTGAACACCAGACGGGCTGCGGCATTCTGGATGAGTTGTAGGGGTTTAATGGCACAGGCAGGGAGCCCAGCCAACAGCGAGTTGCAGTAATCCAGACGGGAGATGACAAGTGCCTGGATTAGGACCTGTGCCGCTTCCTGTGTAAGGCAGGGTCGTACTCTCCGAATGTTGTAGAGCATGAACCTGCAGGATCGGGTCACCGCCTTGATGTTGGCGGAGAACGACAGGGTGTTGTCCAGGGTCACGCCAAGGCTCTTCGCACTCTGGGAGGAGGACACAACGGAGTTGTCAACCGTGATGGCGAGATCATGGAACGGGCAGTCCTTCCCCGGGAGGAAGAGCAGCTCCATCTTGCCAGGGTTCAGCTTGAGGTGGTGATCCGTCATCCATACTGATATGTCGGCCAGACATGCAGAGATGCGATTCGCCACCTGGTTATCAGAAGGGGGAAAGGAGAAGATTAGTTGTGTATCGTCAGCGTAGCAATGATAGGAGAGGCCATGTGAGGATATGACAGAGCCAAGTGACTTGGTGTATAGGGAGAAAAGGAGAGGGCCTAGAACTGAGCCCTGGGGGACACCAGTGGTGAGAGCACGTGGTGCGGAGACAGCTTCTCGCCACGCCACTTGGTAGGAGCGACCGGTCAGGTAGGACGCAATCCAGGAGTGAGCCGCGCCGGAGATGCCCAGCTCGGAGAGGGTGGAGAGGAGGATCTGATGGTTCACTGTATCAAAGGCAGCAGACAGGTCTAGAAGGACAAGAGCAGAGGAGAGAGAGTTAGCTTTAGCAGTGCGGAGAGCCTCTGTGACACAGAGAAGAGCAGTCTCAGTTGAATGACCAGTCCTGAAACCTGACTGGTTTGGATCAAGAAGGTCATTCTGAGAGAGATAGCAAGAGAGTTGGCTAAAGACGGCACGCTCAATAGTTTTGGAAAGAAAAGAAAGAAGGGATACTGGTCTGTAGTTGTTGACATCAGTGGGATCGAGAGTGTTTGTGACTATAACTTTTCTTTGCCTACGTTTACTGACACCAGTCATATTCAGCGGGTCTTGCGTGTTTGTAAATTCATCAGTTATTCTGCGCTCTGGCACACTCCGACAAGTGTGCTCTGAAATCGGAGTAAATAACTAGCCAGAGTGAATTTGCGAACGCAAGAGATATGCTAACTGGATAACAGTCGTTCAGCATAGCTAGCTAGCAATGCGATTCACATCCAAATGACACGTGCATCTTTAGCTGTGTAGCCACCGAAAAACTATACGAGGAGAAATAGTCAGTCAGTCAATCACCCACTCCTCCAATGACATGTCATCCTAGCAGCTAGCTACCTAGCTATGTAGCTAACGTTAGGCGCTGTGTTTTTAGCTTGCTACATAAATAGATATGCTAGCCTATTAGCCATGTTATGACTGACTTGTGATCATTGCCCTTGCTAGTTTGATTGTATTGATATTCCCAGCCTTAGTTACATTCGTCCATTTTTGTCCAAAATATTGAATAATTGAAACTGAAACAGTGCATCCCGAATGGAGGCAGGAAACAATATACCAGGCCAGCTGTGATTTACAACCTGATAGCAATATTTTTTGGACTACGAACAAATGTATTGATTAATTATATTAATCATGCATTGAACTGCATCCATCTATTCTGCAAACAATGCCTTAGTGTACGTCATGGAATGTTGAGTCAAATAGAACGTATTTTTAAAACCTCTTATGAAGTTGGTTTTGTAGTATAAACGGGGAATTTGAGATTTTTACCTGATATTATGATTGTCTGTTTGTTTCATATCTGCAAATTAGTTATAACGCTGTCAGTTCCACTTTAAATCAAATCAAATCTTATAAGCAGAGTGCACTTGTATTATCCAGGAGAGACGGATGGTAGTTGTGTGGCAGTCTAACAGGGAGAGGATGAGTCAACAGATTGGACAGAATGGCTTGTTGGCATTCAGGGTAGCCCAATTGAGACCAGGGTCTCATTCCCAATGGTGCCCTGAGTACAAACATTTTCTAACAAGAGGAAGAACAATTTACATTACAGTTAAAAGAAGATGAAGAAAAATAACCACAAGGCACAACCTCAACACCACAATTTCAACAAATAAACCACTACAAAGAGGGAGTAATGAATTGGTCTATGGGCCTTTAATGAGGACCAGCCAACCGTTTTATACAGGATGCAGTGGTGAGTATTAAAACTCACCAGTGATAAAACGAATGGCGCTATGGTAGATGGCATCCAAAAGTTTAAGAGTAGTGGCTGCTGCCCACTTTAAATCTTAGCTTTTTAACTAGCTCATCTGTATCCTTCAAAAGGTGGGCCGCAGCCCGCCAGTTGCTCATCCCTGCTCTATAGCGTTCACAATATCCAGCCATGAAACAGCATTTCAGTGTCATTGAAAGCAGCATTTTTTCACTGTTGGTCACTTTAATTGCTGAAAATAACGAGTAACCCCATTGTTTAATCATTACCATTTTCTATTAGAAAATGGTGGCTTGCACTCCTGTCAAAGCAAAACAGAATTGACAAAGAGATGATACTAAAGAGACCCTGGTGAAAAAGAGCAGTGCGACAACTAGAGAACAACATGTATTTAGTCTTGCTCGCATTAAGTACACGTTTTAAACCAACTAGGGCTTTCTGTAAGGTAACAAGGTCAGATTGCAGCTCTAACATAGCCTGGTCAACAGTTGGGGCAATGGCATACATAAGTGTCGTCTGCAAGAGGGACTTTCGTAGGAGTAACCAGGCTATCCTTTCCTCAGCCCAACAAACCACCAGCCAAACTCAACCTGCTCACCTGCCAAATCAAGCCCAGTCTGGAGGACAAGAAGTGCTTTGACCTAATTTCTCGTAAGTCAGCCTCTGACAAGTCTTGAAAATATATCTACAATGTAACTTTACTGTCCAATTTGCTTCTGAAATTTGTTCTCCTATCAGTTAGTCTAACAGCCAAAAGTCAATAATAATGATGTTTTAGTCCAAATAATGTGGATACATCTCTGTTTGAAATAATCACGCCTGCCAACCATGGCCTATTTTCATTATTCAGGTCATAATTATTGCATATGCCGTGTAAAATAAACACACACACATTTTGTCATGAGACTTCCTTTAATTTAAATGTGAAACATGTTCTTTGGTTGCAGACATTCAGATTAACGTATTTTCTCTTGTGTTCTAGATAATCGCACATATCACTTTCTTGCTGATGACGAGCCAGTGTGTGTCGCGTGAGTAACCTCTCTCTATAACAGGAACAGGCAACTTTGATGGGGGTGGGGGCCACAAAAAATCTTAACTCATCATGAGGGGCCGCGGGTCTGTGCAAGTTGAGACCCCGACTGAGTCTTCTTTTGGGGGGGGATTGATCCGAGGGCCTTCAAAAAGGGCTCAACACCACAATTTCAACAAATAAACCACCACAAAGAGGGAGTAATGAATTGGTCTATGGGCCTTTAATGAGGACCAGCCAACCTTTTTATACAGGATGCAGTGGTGAGTATTAAAACTCACCAGTGATAAAACGAATGGCGCTATGGTAGAC